CCCCACTCCACTGGGGAAGAGGGATGAGAACCCACTTTACTCTCCTCGCCCCCCCTCCTTTTCCTCTCTCCCTCCCTTTTTTTCTCCACCTTAATGTGCCTTTTCTTCTTCTTCTTCTTCTTAGTGTCTGGAAAAAAAACGTGTTGTTGACACCTGCTAGATAAGATTATTGCATTCGGAACGTACGCAAACTAACCCTTTCTTAAATGTTTGCGACCGCAACTACGGACGGACTGGATGCGTCTGACTGCAATCACGTCCAGAAATTAGTAGAAAAAGCTCTAGTGTGAGTCTTCCGTCATCGCTGTTGGGCCTTTTTATTTTATTTTTTCCAAAAGGCGACGGCCTTGCGATATCATCTTTGAGCTGACTGATCCCGGGTAAATTCAGAGTTATTCTCATTCATCTGATGCCATTGGGATTCAAACTCAGGTCTGTATTTCAATTTTTGACAGTTCATGGGTGTACTATAACTGACATAGGCCAGATGTAAAGAGTTGGATCCTCTTTTTTTTTTTTTTTTTTTTTTTTATTTCTTTTGTTGTCGGTTCATCAAGAATCCAGACAGCCAGGAGGAAGCTGACACAATCTGTGTGTTTTGCATTGTTTGTGTGACCGTTTGTTTTCATGTTTGTGACCTTTTTTTTTTCTTGTGTGTGTGTGGACCTTTTTTTCCTGTGTGTGTGTGACCTTTATTTTTATTTTTTTTGTGTGTGTGTGACCTTTTTCGCACAGTTACCAGGACACGCTTAAAGATCTATTTGGAGACGGAGATCCGTCTAAGGCAACATACCTAGGGGAGGCGACGTCACGGATTATGACAGCATTGCAGGCGAACTTGGATGCAAAATCGAAGCATTTCAAGGACCCTGCACTTACACATATATTCCTTATGAACAATATTCATTACATTGTTGTGTCCGTCCGCAGGTAAGCAACTTATGTGTAGATGGTTTGCTACCGGCTTCCCTCAAACACAACACACCCTGATTATGAATGCATACAAGCTATTTTTCTGGCCTGATACAGTCATGAGGAGGGTGCAGTATGTTTGGGGGAAGACGGTGTCCCGATCCTTATTATCTGAGAGTTCAGATAACCATTCAAAAAGACACAAAAAAAAACGTGAAAGAACATGTGTCACATACATCACAAATATGGCTTTGTTTTGGAAAAAGCATGTTTGGGGTCGGGAGAGGTCCAATTCATTATGTTTCATTATATTAATTTTACTTATTGTTTTTACTAAGTTGTCAAAAAATTGAGTAACTTTTACTAATTTAGCAATTTTACTAATTTACTAATTTAGTAATTTGTGAATGCAATTTTTTTTTCTTGTGTTTGTTCACACAAAGATTGTGGCATGCCGAGTTCCACACGAGCCCTACCAGGCCCGACCAGGTAGGAGTAGGGGTTGGTTAGGGGGTACTTAGGTCCAGTTAGGCCCTGTGTCGTTTCGGTACTGTTTAGGGCCCGTAGGTCCGTAGGCCCAGTTAGGCCAGGTTAGGCACCAGGCCCTGGCGCAAGTTTTGGCGCCAGACCCTGGAGGCAGCGACGTTTCGTTAGGCGTTGAGGCCCAGCCTCAGTTTGGGCGCCAGTTTTAGGTGCCAGGTTTCCCTTCAGAGCACATCGAAGGCGGGTCCAGCGCTATTTATAGCTGGTCCGCCTCAGTTTCGGCAGGCATTCTTCAGGTAGTAGTTGTAGTCGACGATAGGTAGGGCTGAGTGGTCTTCCAGCGCTGGGCGCTGCGTTAGGTTACTGCCACCAGCTTGAGCTGCAGTTTGCTGCAGCGGGAGTTAGGGAGAGTTCTGGGTATGACAGAGGCCAGGGGACTTATCTGATGGCTTACCTGTGACGCCATCGCTCCAGATTCGTCTTCAGAGCGTCCATACCTGCATCAAGGCGACACCTTCCGCAGGTCAGTATCTGGTACAAAGAGAGAGAGAACTCTTCGCTTCTTCTTCCTCTTCCTCTAGTCCATCGCCCTTCTTCTCGCCCTCCACCACCTCTGGTCTGCTTCTTCTTTGACTATGAGAGAGAGAGAGAGAGAGAGAGAGAGAGAGAGAGAGAGAGAGAGAGAGAGAGAGAGAGAGAGAGAGATTTGCAACATTGGGATTTGGCGACATTCGGATTCGGACTTGGCATTGAGGCAGAGACATTGTGGGGGACTATTTTTGCATCCGTATCAATTGGGTTGACGACATTCTCCGTATCTTCCCCCTCCGTCTCTCCTCTCTCCTCCTCATTTGTGTATGATTACGTGCCTGGCGCCCTTCGTCTCTGTGTTCAGCGCCAGGCCACTCAGACCGTGTGATGATGATGATGATGGCGATGTTCAGTCTTTGTCACGACATTGATTGGGTGACTTTTGGGTCTGATTGTTGGTATTTCAGTCTTCCGCTGTGCTATCATTGCTCCATCTTTGAGAGGTCGGTTCTTCCGCTGTGTTAATTTTGTGCAAATCAATTTATATATGTTGTGAAAACTTTCTGATTTTTTTCGTTTTTCCATAAAATAGCTGAGTGGGGATCCGGGCCGCCCGGGTGACCGCCAGGGCCCGGGGGAGGTCCCGGGCGGCCTGGCCGGGCAGGGCACCCGGTTGGGGACCGGGCCCCCCCAGCGCACTCACCTGTTGGGGGATTTCGGACCCCCTTTGTGTGTGTGTGTGTGTGTGTGTGTGTGTGTGTG